AATGCTGTTGGTTTTGCTCCAGTCTGTCTTCCAACCACTGCAGGAGAGGCCCGCTGACTGCCGACATCTGGCTGCACAGATTCTTGGTAAACACTTTAAGAGGAAAAACACAGATGAGCTCACCAGGGAAAATTTTGTCCACTGGCATATTTCTGCTCTGCCACCAATGGAGCCTCAATTGCGAGCACAGCAAAAGGGTTGGAGGGGGATGTAGAAAAAGAGCAATAAGCAGAGCCAGTAAATGATTTTCTATGACCAGCTAGGGGCAAGACAGAAGAACTGAGCAAAGAAGACACCTGTTCTGAAGCATCCTTCTAAGTCCATGAGTTAGAGAGAAGCATTTGCTATGTAGGAAGTAAGATGACAGTCAGCTCTTTAGTCCTTTTGGCAAAAGGACTGAAAGAACACAGGAGTGTTCCTTCCCAGCCCTTTGGACATTCCCACACTGTAAGAGACTCAAGAGCTAGAACTCTGCCTTCTTAAAATAGGATCTCAGAAGCACTGTGTGAAACATTAATTCAACTCACCTGACAAGTTCTCTTTGCAAATGAGAAAAAGGGGAGGGGGGGTGAAGAATAAGGAAGCTATCCTTCATGTCATGTAAACGTTAAACTCATAGTGAAAGATTCTGTGATACTCTTAAACTCTAAGGGAAATGTCTTTTTTCCCTACATAATAGTATATCATAGATATACTTCTGTATCAATGAGAAAAACTCTAACTCTCGGTTTTTTTGCACTAGTACTTAAGATTGAGTCTAGGACCTGCATATAGAACTATGTCACCAGACCTATTTTTCATTTTGAGACAGGGTCACATTAAGTCACTAAACTCTAAAGGATGGCCCCAAACTTGCAATACTCCTGCCTCAATCTCCCATAGTGCTGGAATTACAGGCACTCACCACTATCGCTGGGTTCCAGATGTCCTGCTTAAAGGCTGTACGATATTCATCTGAATGGCTATACCAATGTAATAAGTCCCCTTTTGACTGATGTCTCAATGATATCCAACTGTTGCAATTATATACACTTGTTTAAGTGGAATTGCTATATCTAAACCAATGTATATTTTAAAACTGAAGTATTTTTCATATCAAACCAAATTATATACATCCAGGCATAAGATCTCTGGACAAGACATAAGGTTCACATCTCTTAGGTCCTTATCTGATTATTTCTCTATTTAATCTTTACCAAAGGGTGAAAAACTGCTGACTTCTTTTAAAAATCATAATGAAATTTTTAATTTCTCTGCAGGGGCTTATAAAAGTGTTTACTTTTTATTTAGCCAATCTTTTATTAGTGCAGAATTTCAGATTATACTTAGGCTATCGCCTTCGTAAAAAAAAGAATCGCTTATAGCTTCTCCTGTATTTTTCCCTTTATGATGAGCTTTATTGGGTTATAATTTACTGGCAATAAAATGAACTAATTTAAAGCATATAATGCAATGAATTTTGGCACCTATATTTCCCATGTCACCACCCTTAGTCAAGATGTCTTTCTTCCTTTCCTACTCTAAGTTACATTTACAATATATGAGGGTCCACAGGGTTGAAAAGAAATGCCAAGAGCGAAGACAACTTATACCCATCACTTCAATTACTTTAACTAAATTTGCTTCTGTTGGGAGAATATTTCAGAAGTCAAGAAAAAGAAATCTTACCTGAGCCATTATGTATCTTGGTTACTGAGTCCAGGTGTGTAAGGCTAAAAGGATGAAACAGTTTAGGTTAGTAGCAAGGTAGTACTGAAAGGAAAGCAAAATGGTCATGATCTATAACAAAAATGACAAACCACATGTGATCTTGGTCAGTTTGGTTAGATGAATTTGTATGCTTTAAGTTACCATTACTGTTATATTTTAAACTTTGAGACAGGGTCTTGCTATGTTGGTCAAGTGGACCACCAACTCGTGATCTTTCCACTTCAGCCTCCCAAGTAGCTGGGATTACAAGTGTGTGCCACTATACTAAGTTCCCGTTGTTGTTAATTTTTAAAAGATTTTCTCAAAAAAAATTGAAGAGGTAATTCAAAAATATAACTTTGAAATTACTGTCTCTTGCTGAAGCTTTGATATAGTACACATTTATTGGATAAGACCTAGTGTTTGGTAACCAGGCTACTAAGATGTTATGACTTATTTTCATAATCTAAAAAGAAAGATCCTTTCCCTTGAAGGATAGAACCTGTATCACAAGAGAAAGATATGCGAAAGAGACTGCTTTCAAGTGTAAGAAAAATCATGATTAAAGACTGCAATAAAGCTTTCTCATGGGTGAAAGGAAAAAGGGCTCAAGAGTTGAACCACTCAAGTCCAAAGGACTGGGTTCTGAGAAGTAAAGAACCGGAAACAGGGTCTCCACCTGTGAATCCTCCGATATGCATCTTGCTCCTCCTGACACAGGATCTTGGGAAGCTCCACTGCTGATTCAAGACACACTTTCCCAATGGAGACATG